ATGTCTGTGAGGGAACGTTCCGGGAGCATTTCGACTCCTGAGGTTTCAGAGGTAGGCAGAGAAACTTCAAGCAGTATACCAATAACAAAGTTAAAAAAGAAAGAGGAAAAAGGATAGCCTTGTCTTACACCACTGGACGTGGTGAACTCAGGCGAGATCCCGTATACTCGTATGCGCCCACAGGAGTTCGCATACAGTCCCCTCATAAGGAAGACAATTTTGGAAGAGATACCTTTAATCGTTAGACACTGCCAAAGTTGCTGACGATCGACAGAATCGAAAGCAGCTTTCAAATCAAGAAAAACTACCAGCGTGGGACGTCTGAAGGAGTGACGCTGTTCAAGAATTTATCTCAGGGTAGAGATATGATCGATGCATCCTCAACCGGGGCGAAACCCAGCTTGATTCTCGCAAATCTGTCTTTGTTGATAATCCATCAACCTGCGCAAAATAATGCCAGAGAACACCTTAGATGTGACGGATACCAAGCTGATACCACGATGGTTTTCACATTACGTTCTTGCTCCCTTTTCGAAAACCAGGGTGACGGTCGAGGAGCTGGCATTCTGTTTTTGTTTGTGCTGGAAGTTCGCACTGGCCAGAAACAGACGATGATCTGCACATAACTGAAGAAGCCGCTTCCCATTATCCGTATGCTCAGCGTCGACTCCAAATCGACTGCTTAACTGTGCTTCTTCCGGACTTAGTAGTCCAACTTGGGCTTTCATATCACCCACCAGGATCACTATATCCGTCCTCGTTGTTGACCGAAGCAGTCGTGACAGATCTTGATAAAACTCGTGCCTCAGTTTCAGAACTGCTATCTCTTGGGGCGTATGCTGATACGACAAACACACCGTTTGCCGCACCGACCTATGTTAATCTTAATTGAGCCAGACAACCGCACAGCGCAAGGGTGAGTGTTTACTGGGATCCAGTCCAGTATGGCACTTTCAGCCTTGGGGATGAGTTCATTGCCCACATCGTAGATACCACGAGCCATTGCGTCAGGGTCACCAGATGCCTGAAGAGTGAAATCTGGAACATCTGGACTCGTTCTAAGCGGACTGAGGAGCACGACCGAAGTGAGGTCTTGTATGCGTGTTTCCGAGATACGACATACATCGATAGAGAGGTAAATTAAGGTTTCAGCAAGAGATGCCTGTTATCCAATTTGACATAGAGTACGGACATTGAAGGCTGCACTGCGGATCAGATCTTTCGAGGTTAGTAGGTGGTTATTTTGTTTTTTTTTTTTGGGGGGGGGGCAACGGTCGAGACACGGAACACTGGCTTGGTGATTAGCAGATGGGTTGATTGCACTGCAGTGTACGATATGTTGTTATGGAATGAGGAGGAAGGCCCGTGAGCGAAGAGCTGTAATGACAAATGATACTTCCCGGTTGCCCAGGCCGAAGAAGGGGGTTTAGTTGAGGTACCCCACCTTTAACCTTCCACTCAAAAGTCTGACCCACAAGGTAATGGGAGGATATTAGGGTTTCCTGGGGGACCCTTCCAGGAGCCAATGACTCAATAGTGTGATTTACTTGGCTATAGGGAGCCGGCCTGGCCCGAGGGCGGAGGGAGTACGGCATGTCTCTCACTCCTGATTCGGCTGCGCACAGCAAGTGCCTTTTGAGCATCACCGGGCTCTTTGGTTTTGAAAGTATTTCGGCAGTATTGAATAATGCTCTGGTGGTCACCATCAACTGTATGGCAGTCGGAGTGTGCGGTTTTTTGGGTTGACCTTTTGTAAACCATCTTCCTCTGGAGACAGCAGCATCGGTGCTTCCATAAATATGGTCATGCTGGTTGTCTGGAGGAAACGCCTTACTGCCTTCAAACTCCTACCGCAGATTATAGTACGACTCTACCTCCAGACCACCTCGTGATACCATTATTTGCAGCACGGGGACTCGCTGTTCTTCGTCGGGCTGCTCCCCGTTGGCCTTTCTGGCATGGTTGAACCCTTAGCATCTGAGCTCCAGCCAGTATAGCCCGCGGGACCATTGCAGCACAGAAGCCCGACAACCACAAGGTGACAGCTTTATGTCGGGTCTTGCAGCAGCAATTATTACTACACAGGTATGGAGTGCATGTCGAACTTGCATCAGAACTATTTAGGTAATTAAAATAGCTTGCATTTCCAAAGTGCCTGATTCACGAAGAGCAATATCGTCGGCGTACTCAATGTCCGTGAGTAAACGCCCCGATAGTGTTTTGATCCATGGGGTGTTAGAAGTAGGTAAAGGATATTCAGGCATCATACCAATTACGAAGTTGGAGAATGAGCGCCAGAGAACATCCTTGCTTGAAGCCACTAAATATGGTGAACTCGGGAGAGAGTCTGCCGTAAACAGTTACGTGTCCACGAGAAGAGGCACACAAAGCCTTTATCAAATACAAGACTTAACAAGAGACACCACTCATCGCTAGACTCTGTCACAGTATCTGATGATCGACGGGGTAAAAAGCAGATTAGAGACCAAGAAATACGATCATTTTTGCTCGTCGGAATCAGGGACACAGTCCAAACACTTTCTGGGACGGAATCCAGCTTGATTCGCGTGAATCTGACTCTTCCGGTGTCAGGTCAACCTGCTTAGGATAACTCTAGAAAACATCCTGAGACCTTAAGCCATTAAGCTGATGCCGCGGTTGTTTTTGCACGAGTTTCTTGCACCTTGTTAGAATATGGGAATCACCTTAGAGGCACTTCATCCTTCCTCCTTTCCTTTACCTTTCTCGACTTTCCCTGTCTAGGCTTAGGCGACCTGGCAGTATCCCAGCCCTCGTGCTTCCTTCTGGTGGCATGACAGTTAGGCACCGAAAGGGTGATACAGCTGAACGACTGATTGATTTTATAAAATATTTTGTAGTAGGGCCGAAATTTCCACCTTTTCTGAAGAGTGTAGAGTGCAAACCGTGTAGTCCTGGAACTTCGTTGTGCTGAAGAAATGGGATTGCAGAGTGGAGTTTGCCGATGGCGGATTGATTTCATCACTGCACTCTGGTCCGTTTGGTCCTTCCGGAGGATGAGTTGATTCGGCCAAGCTTAATTTTTTTGAAAGTGTCTAGCTAGTCGTCCAAGGCGAGGTCCGTTTGAATGAACAGTGATTTTATCCGCTTTGAGGATAGCTTCGCCAACACCCGCCTTCCTCGGACCATTTATCGGACTTGCTGGAACAGGATGCGATCATTCCCCTTTACGAAGGTTTTCTCCAGTTCTGGAGCTCTTACGATCCACCAGCGCTATTTATCAATCGCTGGGCTCCGTTTTTCAGCGTTTGAGCTTCTGACAATCGACGGGGTCAAGAGCAGGTTTGAGATGTATAAATACGACAATCGTTGCTCGTCGTAATGAGTGGCGCAGTCCAAACGCTTACCACAAGGTGAAAATATGATCGATGCTACCCCGGCCAGGGCAAAACTCAGCTTCAGTCGCGCGAACCTCACTCTCCCGATGATAGATCAACCAGCTTAGGATAAGTTCGGAGAACACCCTGGTGTCTGTGGCCACTAAGTTTATGCCGAGGTTTTCGCACGAGATTCTTACACGGCAGTGAAGCATCAGTGTTGAACACTGATGTCATGCTGTCGATGATGATGATGATGACAAATCGGATCATAGCATTGTAAACCCTATCCTTAACAATCGAGTCAATGTTACATCTGGGCCACATATATCGGAAGTTGACAAACGCCCCCTTGACCTTCCCAATTCTGGAAGTGACTTCCTCTTCCAACAGCCCACCGGGACTTATGTAGTTGTCCAGATAGATATCCATTTACCAGATCGACCAGTTGATGTGGAAACATGAGTTTTGGGTCGCAGAAGCATTTTACAGTTCGCAGATATGAAGCGAGCATCTAACTGTGCAGTGGAATTTGGGTACTCGCTTCGAGATGGCCCAAGCGGTGAGAGCGCGAATTTACTGGCCGGAAGGTCCGTGGTTCGAACCCAACCACCGCCTCTGGAATTCTCCTGTCTAGGCTTGGGCAACCTGGCAGTATCCTCGTGCCTCCTCTCGGTGGCATGGTACCAAAAGGGTGCTACAGCTGAACGCTTTTTTCACATCCCCAACATACACCTACTGCTATTGACCTGTTGCGTGTGAAGTTCCCCATCCACATGTATGGTCTTCAATGCTCTTGGCGATGAACATGAACTAAATCGTTGCCTGAAAATATTGCAACATATGTTTGGTTTAATGTTTCACCGCCATTAAAACATCCCGAAATGCAACGAAATGTGGGACATGAAAAGCCCCAATCTGATTCGTGCCAGTCGTATTGATTATTGGTCCTGTCGTTATAGCAATATCGTTTGCCAATTCCCACATGAAAAACTTTTTCCCCGTTAGTATTATAAAAGGGATGCAGATCCCTCTAACCGATAGACCAACTCGGCGCGTTTACTTTGCATGAGCATTTTAGAGCAGGACTCATTCCGTAAGGACGATGTCACGAATTTAATGAGACCAACTAATGCGGTCACCATAGAAACTCAGCTGCTTTACTGTATAACCAGCGATTGCCCTCGGGCTAGAGCTCGTCCGGCAAATTTTATTTCTTAGGTCCATGAGTAATCCATCTGAAGGGTGAATTTTGGACATGAGGCCAGTTTGATAAGACAGCCTTATTTGAGGTACCTGAAACACGTCGGACAGAAGCCTTTGTTGGCTTTTGTCCAGGCGCCAGTAGTTCAACGAACATAGCTCAGCAAATGTGTGTTAATCCCATGTACATTTCCGGGCACACTCCTTTCGGCCAGTGTTTGTGGCAGACAACGATGTGCCTCTGACTCCACCAGAAAATTATGACATTCTTTGCTGGTCCTTCATGGTTAAGTCTTTAAAGAACTGAATTTTTCATATATTTTCGAGGCTCAACATTGTGGACTATATTATCAAACGGTTTCTACTGTAGTTTTGTCGGTATTCATTCACAACATACTACTGTGATTTCATATAAATTTATCATTCTTTTTGTCTGTTCAGAAACTTCATGTCCTCGGTACTCTGAATGAGGTCACTTTGACTCTTAGTGAGTTGTCCGAATCAGGTGTGGGTCGTGCTGTGAGCAAGCTTAAAAGCTCTCCAGGCGAGCTGGGCAGTACTGCTAGACTTTTGGTGACCAAATGGAAGCGTCTATTACGTGAACATCTGGCAAAGGAATCCGTACAGCTCCCACAAGACATCACTGAAGTTGAGGTGACTGCGGACAACCATACTTCGCTGTCGGCACAATGTCAAGTTAGTACGTTGTATGCCTCTGATAAAAGAGCGACCGGTAAGCGCCACTCTAAAGGGAGGAAACACTCACCACCTGTACGTCCTCTGTCACCCAACACTGACATTAACTCGCCTGTAGCCGAATGTAAACCACTGGGCGTCTCCACCTCCTCTCCCTCAATCCCAACGCAGTCTTTCAAAACTAACAGATCACCCTCTCCTCCACTTCACACCCCTTCAAAGCAAGCCGTGAAAAGTGGAGTTAAACGAAAGTTCTCAGGTTCCGTGGAGTCACTTGATTCCAGTAGTGGTCTTTCTTTTATGGAGTCCCTCATGGTAGGATCTTCCCCTCATCCTTCGTCACGCAAAAAATCAAAGAAAGCACAAGCGAAGTGCAACAGTTCACCTTCCTCAAATGGTCATGTCCAATTGCAATTTCAATCATCGTCCTTCAAAACACCACCAAAATTACCAGCAGCATTTACCGCCGAAGTTCTTTCCTCTTTGTCTGAAGACGTGGACCGACCAGATATTATTCGACCTTCCAATAGCCGTGAAAGTAAGTATTCTATTTATCGTCATTCTAACGTAACCAAGTCCCACTTTAGCGAAATGCACTCATTTGCAAACAAATTTGGTTTTGCGGGAGACTCACCTGAAACTCAGTTGAATTCCTCGTTTATGATGTTTTTAAGCAGCTTCCAGTAGAGTCTCTCACCAAACCAAATTTGTTTTCATTTCGATAATTTCGTGAAATATGGGTTCAAGAAGAACATGAGATTGACGAAAACTCAGTTAGTGAGCCTACCTGATGACCTCAAGAAAAGCGGAACCGGTCGTGGGTTGTCGAAGAATTTTTAGCAACTTTGTGAGTAGTGTATGGAGTCACCTTTTGTTTTTTTTCCACATTTTTGAGCCTTCTCATTGTATGCACAATACTTTTCCCTCAAAATCGCCGTAGGATTTCGAAGGTATTGTTACTCGACGGGGGTCTTTTTACATAGGAGGGTTAGTGAAATTCTGGTTCTATCTCTTTGTTTCCGACAGCTTTTGGACTTGGAACGTGGAGTGCTTTCCTTCTCCAAACAGTTGGTTCCAGAAATTCAATACTTCGGCCTCGGGACTGCAACTAGCGGAGCGTCATGAACCTGTGTGATGGTCCCCACTCTCTATTGCGAATGGGCGCTTTTCCGAATAAAAATTAGAAATAGTAATTAATCATGACCGAAAAACAGTGATCATCCAAGCCATTACCTTCAGTGCACGGCCTCCCTTCCTGATATATCTAGTTAAGTGCCCACTGTCACTCCTGCATTCACACATCAACATTGTTAGCTTCTTCCTCTAATCCGCAGCTGTAACCACTGTACAACATGTACACGGTTTACAACTGACGATGGGGGTGTTCGAAAACTGTATCGGTACTGAGCTATCGTGCGCGGTTTGGCGAGATGTTGCAATTTTATCCTCAATCCGTATTGCAATTGTGGTGTTTTCCAGTAATTGGTACTAAGCCATATTACCAGTCGCGTAAAGTCGAGGAGAGCTCACTGACTCGGTTCAAACACTGAACATAGCATCAGTCTTCCAGAACGACCATCGACCAGTCAGCATGAGTTACTGGGATTTCTTGGTTCTTGTTGCGAAGCAAACTAGGAACTGTTTCAGGAGAGTGTCTCTTCGACGGAGATTGTAAAATTCAAACAACTGTCTTCTTTTATCTGTGTGGATGACGCCACTATATTCTTGCGTTTGTAGTCCTTAAAACATTGACATGCCCGCTGTTGATCAACTAGCGGTTGGTCTTTTCGCTAAGCTTGGCAATCGGCACACAATCGTTCCTTCACTATA